TCACCACGTGTTAGCCATTGAAAAACCCCAAAGTTGCCGAGTCGCTGTCCTCCGTCAGGCCCATTATGCGGGAGGCTCTGTTTCCCTTCCTCAAGGTATCACGCTAAAGGTATAAGGGAAGGGAGGACACGGGCCTTGGACAGCGACGAACTGAGAAAAGGCCAGCAGATCAGCACACAGCGTGGTAGAGTCAAGTTAGACATCTTTCAGTCAAACAGTCATTATTCGTACACAGTTCAGATAGCTTACACATTCACACCACAACGCAATAAATATAGTTAATTTAAGTAACATCTTCACGTGTCCGAGTTTATACACGGTCCCAGCCGTACAACTTGGGTGGTCCTTGAACATAGTGATTAGATGGCACGCAGTGCGATACTCAGGGCTCGACCATCCCCTAACGAATTCGGGAATTGATTCGGTAACTTTACCGTCGAATATTTCGCTCGCTATTTTCTTCGTTATTCGAAATTTACCGTAGATGAAAATTTTCCTCGACCGTGTCCGAGAGGAGAAAGGTTCCCGGGCTTTCGCAGTCGCCTTCGCGGATCCGTCCATGCGTCGTTCCAGTGGGGCCGGCTCTCGTTTTATCACGAAAAGAAATTGGAGACGATCACCGAGCCGTGTAAAATGAAAAAGCGAGATAGAAAGAAACTAGAACGCACGGAGCGAAATATTCGTGACGCAAAAGTGAAAAGACCCGCACGCGGCGGGCTAAATGGATTATCAGCGTCGCGATTCCATCTATTGCGGGTCTTCTTTCTCTCGCTTCGTGCTTTCCCTGTTTCCCCCCCCCCTGGTCTCTCTTTTTCTCCGATGTTGAAGCGACAAAGCCTTGGCAAATCCAGACCGGATACTGAATTTCCGCTGAGAGATCGCGAGTGACTGCCTTCGCTTTGTCTTTCCTTATTAACTCGCTAAACGTGTAATCTCGTTGCTATGTTCGGAAGTAACAGCGGATCACCTCCGTTTCACGGTTCGTCGCGTCTCGGATCTTTCGAGACGATCAATCGTCTGCTGGGTGTTCCATGGCGCGTGAAAACCAGACTGTGAGTCAGCTCGGTCTGCCTAAAGGCCCGCAGAATAGTCTGGAGCAGAGATTGGCTCCGAGATCGCGGCGAGCACGCGAACTAGTGGTGCCATTTCTAGATTCTGTCATAGACTGAGCCCTGCTATTTTTACAGTCGGTCCCATAAATATTCGTGCCCTCTATGTCTATTGAAAAAATTTGTTTAACCCCGTCAATTCCTGAAAACGCTTTGACCGATTTTTTTCAAATGTTTTCATTTAAATGTGTTGAATTACATTTAAAACTAATTAACTGTCTAGGTGGTAACTATGCAAAAAGTACTTGTTCTGTATTCGGCCGGTTAAATGTAATCATATCAATTCAGTCCGAAGCAGAGAACAGTATCATAATGGCAAGTAAGCGAAAATGTGTAGTTTTAATTATTCAAGGGATATGAAATAATTAAAGATCTTGAAAGTGGTGAAAGTGCAAAGAAATTATCGAGAATGTATGGTATTGGGAAATCCACGATCACAGATATTAAAAATTGAAACTCAATATTGAAAATTATATACAGAATGTAGATTCCACGGATGCTAGTACCAGTGGGAAAAGTTTAACGAATCTAAAAAATAAAAGTGTAGATGATGCTGCCTTCCAATAATTTCGTAAACAAAGAGACAAAGGCATACCGATATCTGGACCGATACTACGTGAAAAAACTCTAGAGTTCAACGACAGATTAAAGGGAAACTCATTTAAAGCTAGTAATGGTTGGTTATTAAAAGCACGTCATAGTATTTGACAGCGGCTAAAACGATATGAGACCTTTAGATGTTGAAAGAAGCTTAATTTTGTTTATTTCTACTTGAATAAATAATGTTTGATGCAAAAGAAAGTAATTGTGCTATTATCCGAAAATTTCCCTATCTGGCCACTTTTGTCTTCCTAATAGTTCAGATATGGGAGTCTCTACTGTATTTTCCCTTTCGCTCTTCTAAAATATTATAATTACACACTTGGAGATTACACCACGATATCAAGGTGCAAATTAGCTAAAATGAGTGTAAACATGTCCGTTATAGACCGTTTTTCACGTCCGTGGGTCTATGAGCCAATCTAACGGTCGCTCCTTCGAGCCAAGTCGGATCAACGCTGTACCCTTTCTACTTACAGCCTAAACAAGCTCGCTCGACCATCCGTCTCGCCGAAATAACTTTCGGTAGTGGTTACCGGCCACGGCAATAAATCGATATAAGCGTGTAAGCCTCTTACCAGCCTAATAGTGTAATATTCTGTCGAGGAAGAATAATTTCGAGCGAGCTGCGTCTTCGAGAACGCGGGAAATTCTAAGAAAGTAGTCTCCGTGCGGTAGTTAAATTTTTTGAAAAATATTCTACAGCACGGGGAGTTAACCAAAGGTCCGTAATCCAGCTCGGTTTAGGAGCAGTCATGTGCGAGATGCATGGTCGAGAGTAGTCATGGGTTAGTATAGATCTTTTGTTTACCAATGGGAGTTATGTTCGATCAAACTTCTCATGGATTGGATCCAGGCTCCACCAAAAATAAAATATAAAAAGAATAAGAGTAAAGCTAAATAAACAAATAAATAAATAAATAAACAAATAACAAAAATGAAAAACGATAGTATCGAATATTTTGTCCCGTGACTCTAGTAATGTTGATTTTCCGCGCCTTTCTGGCCACAGAAGGAAAAGTTTTTCCGCCCTTCCGTTCCATAACGGGTGGTATTTCTGTTAGGATTGACTCGGTCGCTTAGGTTTCTCTATATATAGCGGTACCACCATAAGTTGTCGAGTGTCTACAAACTGGAAGGGATCGGATTGCCCGCTCCACCCGATGCATATCAGTCGGATGTCGCAACATCACGAAAACTTAAGTAGCTTGATCGCTACGACATTTGACAGTTTAAGCGAATCTGATTTGGCGATAGTTCAACTCCTTCAGACCTGGCGCCCACAAATGAGGACGGAAAATTTAAAAATTACCGACACTATCGTTTAGGACGAATGTCCTCATTTGTGCACACGAAGAAAGCCCAATTTTCCTCGAAAACAACACTATTAGGATTATTTTGTTATTTTCTTAAAGAAAAAAGAGATAATTCAAGTCTGAAAGGGTTAACGTGGTACCACTGTACAGGGTGTCTACGTATAAGTTCGGATGCAGGGTGTCAATTCTACAAGAAATTTCTAACAAAAAATTACTCGTAGACGTTTTCTTCGTGTCGCCTTATTCTCGAGAATTTTCACTTTTAATATTTTTTCTGTGTTTTCGACTTGACATTCCTTAAACGACCATAACTCCACCACATTACAGTGCAAACTTAAAAGTAAGTATACCATTCGAAAGAGCGTTAAATATCCCATCTCTCTGATGTCAAAGCAAAATTTATTACGAAGATTTAACAAGTGAAAAATTAAGTAAAATGTACATTGTGAAAATTTAAAAAAATTTGACTTTTTCTCTATCCGTTTTCCGGTTTCAAATACATAGTTGTTTGGCAGGCACTCTTCGGGAAAAACTTCCTCGAAGTCTCAGCTTTTGAACGGTATTGTCAAAAAAAATTGTACGGTGGTATTTTAGGAAGAAAATTACGTTTAAATGCAGAAAAACGTTCAAAATGCCCGCCTACTAAATCAAAACCGATCGGTTCTCCTGTGCCGAAAACATCGACTTTTTACTTTGTGAAATCGATTCTGTATCAATCTCCATATCATTTATTGGTACACCGAGGTTGATTTTGATTAAATAGTCTCTAAAAACTCTATGTAACGAAAATTCTATGGATATACGTTCAAAAACAATTATTATTCACCTCGCACTCAGGTTATACACATGGGTGGGAGAGGCTTGAGGTGTCAACAAATCGGTTTTTTTACTAATCAAGAAGGCTCAGGAGTGTCACTAAAAAATACATCAAACCCGATGTCAAGTTAATTTTAAAGTGTCAAGTCGATTCTCGTTGGAAAATATCGATTTTCACCTAAAAATTCACGCTTTTCTGCATTTAAACGTCATTTTCTCTGGAAAATATCACCGTACAATTTTTGTTGACAATACCATTTAAAATCTAAGATTTCGAGGAAGTTTTTCCCGAAGAGTGCCCGCCACACAACTATGTCTTTGAACCGAAAAATAAATACAGAAAAAGTAAAATTGTTTTAAATTTCCACAATGTAAAGTATGACCTAATTTTTCACTTGTTAAATGTACGTAATAAATTTTAGTTTGGCACCAGAGAGATGGGATATTTAACGCTCTTTCGAATGGTATACTTAGTTTTAAGTTTGGACTGTAATTTGGTGGAGTTATGGCCGTTTAACCCCTTGACCTACGATTTACGTTCCAACAGTCTGGGCCCAAAACGTAAACAAGATCGCTCAGCCTTCGAGCCACTCCGCGGTTCGGCAAATCGGACCTAAGTTGCACCAACAACGCACTACTGTATGTGTAATATACAATTTGTTTAATTTTGTGAAATATTTGATAAGTAATTACAACCTGATGTATAATAATAATTGTGGTAGATATAATACTACAAAAGGTCTATAATCAATTAATAAAATATAACAAAAATCAAAAATACAATTAGCATTTATACAAAAATCAATAATAAAAAATTAGCGACGAAGAATAACATGTAACTGATTGTGATCACGTTACAAATCGCAACCGATGTATTACGGGCCAAGCCCGTAATAATTACAATTGGCCCAAATACAAGACTACGAGTCCCGCACGTACTTATAGGTTAAGTGGTTAAAGAGTGTCAAGTCGAAAACGCAGAAAACATATTAAAAGCGAAAATACTCGAGAATAAGACGACACAAAGAAAATTTTTAGGAGTAATTTTTTGTTGGAAATTTGTTGTAGAATTGACACCCTGCGTATGTCCGAACGTATACGTAGACACCCTGTATATTTCTTTGCACCAACCGACGAATCCATTGCAACTTTGTTCCAGCATCGACGGTCCGATCATCAGCAAGTCCTGCTGCAGGATGTGAGCCTACACAGCAGCGGACAGTACAAGTGCGAGGTGAGCGGCGAGGCGCCAAACTTCAATTCGGTCAGCGCCGAAGCCAGCATGGAAGTCGTAGGTGAGCGAACCGATGCTCCTCCGCTTCTCTTACCATCCCTCCCCCATCTCGTTCGCATCCCCGTCCACCTCTGCCCTCCTCGTCGCCCATCCACGTCCCACATCCCATTCCATTCCGCTAATTAATGATCCTTTGAACGCGGCCATCGAACCCCGTAATTCGAGCAAAGCCGTCGCCATTTGTGAGTTTCGGTGAACCCTCCGGTCGAGCCAAACGAAGGAAAACGATCGTCGAACCGACGACTAGCACCGTGACAACTCGACCAAACGATTTCCTTCGGTTACCGAATCTCTTTGCGAATGGGATTACGATTTTAGTAAATTCCGAAGGGGGATAAACAGGTAAATGATCCTGAGATAGACGGGTCCAAATCGACTCGACCAGCTTTTCACGCATCTAGGTCCCGTAGATGGAGTTTATGCCGAGGTTCGACTTACTAATTAACATACGGTTCGAGGATCAACGTTACACCCTATTCAATGGCCTCTAAGTGCAGCCTATTTCAGTTTAATCAGTTACCAGAACATACTCTGTGTCTGGAATCAAACATTCCCGCCACGTTTTCAAGAAAATGGCTATTCAATCGTGAGTATACAAGATACAAACAGAGTCCAGGATCTCTTTTCCGGGTGTTTAAGTCATTTGCGGGGGGGCTTCTCTCCCCCCGGGTATGGGACCCACAAAGTCAAGGGCGAGGGTGGCTGGTAGTGTTCCGTAGGAGTTCCCAACGATATCCAATTAGTCTAGTATAAAAAAAAAGGATCTCTCTTCCGAATCCAAAGAACGAATTTGATCCATAACCGTGACATTACTGCGCCATTGACACAGTGTTGACCGGTCACGAGTAAACTCATGTTTGCACTTGCATTATCCATTTCAATTCACGAAACCCAGGGCGATATAGAATATTGCAAAAGCTTCGCTCATCGTGCTTAGTCTTCTTTTTTTAACAGTAGAATACACTTTCCCCATTATTTACGTCTATATCACATTCAATTACGAAATAATAGCCGGTGACACGAAGTCGCTTCTGTGTAAAATTGTCGGTCAACTATGTGTTAAGCGGAGTGGCCATATTTCTGCAACGTAACTCACACCTTAACGCGGCGTTTCTTTTCGCGCTAGTTTTGACAAATACCTCCGCGAGAAAAAGGACACGGGCAGGATCCGGGGGATTAACGGGAGAAGGAGGAGAACAGAAATGGCCAGAGGAGAGAAGGGACGATACGAGATTCGGCCGACACGCGATGCCCGTGGGGTTATTTGTCGCGTACAAAATTTTCTACGAGCTCGGTAAAGATACGGTAATGGCGGGGCACCTGGTAGACTATCGATCGTGCATAGGGTAGCGCGGTTAGACTACGGAGAGTAGAAAGACGGAGAAAGGAAATTTTCGTCGCAATCCAAGATGCGACGAATTTCGATGAGGGAGACCGATGGCTCGTCGATGCTTCTCCAGCCGAGTCGACGCTTTTACGGCCGCGGAGGCCTTTCCTTTTCGTCCTCCTTCTGCCATCGCCTAACCTGCGTTCATCTAACCGTTCATGCGTCTGCAGCTCCCGTTACGACCCAAGACTTACGATGTCGTAATATTTATCGCGCGTTTCGAGTCGTCTTTACGCGATCCTAAAATTTAACGTTCCACGATCCTCGTTTTCCCTCGTCATGGATCTGGGTCTGTTCGAACGTGCCCATCGGAGTCACGAGCCTGTTTAAAAGAAGCCACGCGACGGGGGTGAAAGGGATGTCGCGCTGGACCCTCGACTCCACCCTTGGTTCGTTTAATTTTCGAGGGAATTCATGAGAGATGTTGTGGAAGAATTCGAGATCCCTTGTCACAGTAATTTTATCTACGAAACGAAGACTATGAAAGACTCCCTAATCTGATGGTGCGGAGTATCCGATTTATTCGATATATTTGAGACACCGAGCCTGTCGAGCGAACAAGGAAGCAATTGTAATTTTATACTTCTCAAAGAGGCTATTACCGCTTTACTCGGTACAGCGAATCTATACTGAATTAATTCAGGTCGTCGCGGGTCGGTCCAATTTCCATCACTGTGTACCTTTGATATAGAATTGATTGGTGATCTTTGTAAAAAGGTTTATCATTGAGAAAAATCGTAGCTATACAGGGTGTCCAAGGTTTTAATGGACAAATTCGGGGAGCATATCTTACAAGTGGAAATAAGAAAGAAATGTTATTTGAAGTTCGCTTAAAAACGCTTTATTACAAAGTTAGAATTGATGACGGCGGATTTTACTCTACTTAACATTTATAGGTCGAACGTGTTTATCGGATTATTTCAAAATGTCATCCTTGGGGACAAACACGATTTTTTATGGAGCTCATTATAGAATAAATCTCTTTCTTATTGTGTTGCATTTCAGCAACGGAGATATTTATCCGTTGCTCTAATTCTTCACACAAAGTAACTTCTGCACTGTAAACTCTATCTTTTAAAGTTCCCCATAAATAAAAATATCAGGGTACAGTGGGTGTAGAATGTATTCGTACACTGATCAATTTCCAAAAAAACTATGTAAAATTGTAATTTATTAACTTATTTTTCATAAACAATGACATTCTATATATTCTCGGAAATCTCTAGAATAAATAGATTACAAAAAAATAGCTATTTATGTAAGTTGCGAAATTAACAAGAAAAAAAGGAATTAATCGATAGAAACATCGAAGCAATAAGTATTCGTACAACTGTTTAATTTTTTAAACTTCATTCAAAAAAAAGAAATTTACATTAATTTACAAGTATATAACACTTCGTGGGATTTCCTTTTGATTTTATAATTATTGCAACTCTTCTAAGCGTTAAATTAACTAAATTATTAGTTATTCAAAGTGGGATCTTCTTCCATTCCTCTATTAGAGCGATTGTTATAAGTATTAGATTGTTCCAACAGTTTCTTTCGTGAGTTGCATTCAATTATTTTCTATGGTAGTGTTTATATAAATAGACAATCTAATTTCTTAGACATTGATGCTGTAACAGTAATGAAGCGAAATGAATCGTACACAATTCAGTAATGTTACATAAAACATAAAATATTATGTATATATTAATTATTAATAAAACGAAAGAAACTTTCGGGACAACCTAATACTTTACTGGAAATTTGATGTTTTCTAATTCGTATCGGAGCAATAAACTAATGTGTTTACGTTACAAACTCTACTGTAAATGGTTCGTCATAAGAATCGTACAAATACTTATTGCTTCTACTATATTGCTAATACTATATCTATCTTAGAGACTCCCAAGAATATGCAAAATATCATTGATTATAAAAAAAAAAGTTAAGAAACTACAATTTCACACAAAAGTTTTTTTGGGGAAATTGATCGGTGTACGAATACATTCTACACCCACTGTATACCTCGTTCGAAAACACTCCAGCCATTTTCACCACGTATTCTTGATCTAACTGGTCGTTAACGCTAACAGGAAATCATATCAAAATAGTAAACGTAACATGAATACACAAATAAGATAGACACGTTCGATCTTTCAATGTTCGGCAAAGTAAAATTCATCGTCATCAATTCTAACTTTATTTGCTTATAACGTTGTAATAAAGCGTTCCTGAGCAACCTTCAAATAACATTTTAGGATATGCCCCCAAGTTTGTCCATTAAAATCCGGGGCATCCTGTATAAAATTTCGGATTCTTCGACCAGTCAGGGTATTCTTAATTGGATGATGGAATTCATTCGAGGCAAACGCAATTGACGATGACATCTCGTAACAAGAGTCTCTGATTCGATTACGGTGCATCTTGATAGGTCAAGATACGTTTAAACGCGCTGAAGAGAGTTCCTGGATCGACAGTGAAATTATTTCGACTACCCGCTAGGTATTCGATGGAACCTGACTTTAGACTAGTTCTTCATCCGTTAGTGGAAATTCGTAACCATCTTGGCATCGCGAAGATGGGAACTTTGTTTATACGTGGCAAAGCTTGAACCAAATATTCAAGAGCTTGCTAGTTTGCATGAAACGCAAGGATCCCGCTGAATAGTGGTCATGTTGCGGTAATACATTTGTTACCGTCTGTTCACTGAGAAATGAGAAGGAACATCTGACTGCGACAAGGTCGAAACAGCACTGAGTTTGCTCTAAATAGATACAGATGCGTTAGGATTTATGCCAGTTGAAGCAACGTATAGTTTTGTACGCGGTATATTAACAAGACAAAATAGTAGAGGCACCAGAAAGTTATGTTGTTTCTTGTATATTAAATTCAAACAAATAAATTTATTACAAGTTTTTACTTTTAATTAATTATGTGTTCGTCCTCGTTATCAGCAACCTTTTGGTATCTAGCGTGCAAATTTTCAATACTTGATCGATAAGAATCAATTGGTACACAACGAGCTGATAAATGATAAACAAGTATTGGCAATCGTAAAAGTGAAATTACATTCTGGTCCCTCTAATAACAACTCTTGAAGTATGTTATACCATCTTCAATAATTAATAAAAACTACAGGAGGTAACCGAAGCAGATCTTATATTAATAAAATTTGAATGGGGGCTACGAGCCAAAAAAGCCGAGAAACGTCGAAGTAAGGTACTAGTGCGCCATGATTCGCGTCAATTTCGATCTCCATCCTAGATCTTTCTAGAAAACAATAGGAAAGAGAGGGGTTCGTTGTACCGTGGTAATCCGAACCGTGTATCTTCGCGCGCCTCGAAAGATCGATCCTAAGCAAAGCGTTGCGACAGCTTCGCAGGCTTCCGTGAGGGAATGAACTTTTATCGCGATCTCATTCTCGAGAGTGAATCAACGAACGATTTTTCTGCTAACCAAAAGGTTCAGGGCGTAGAAATTTTCCATTCAACGTAACCGGTGCGAGTCTATACACCGTCGCTATCACAACAGAGTATTTGTATGGAAATGTAGAAGAAAATTATTTCACTAACTCGATTAGATTTAACGCTCTTATATCTTAATAAATAAAACAGCGTTTCGATTACGAGGGTTACAAATTAAGTATTAATTAATCCACTAGTAAAGATTACGCGAAAACGTGGAAATTTGAATAATCTACAACCCACAATTCGAGTCTCCCTTTATGCTAAAGTAAACGCGAGCAATCGGGACTGCGTAAAACCAGTGCCCAAACAAAAGCTACCAGATCCTTTCAGAGTCGTCAGAAATGCTCGAATTACCCTGTAAATCTCTGAACGGGGACACGGCGGGTCTCACAAAGACGCTCGAGACTAGGATATCCGTCGTCTAATCGTGTGCGAACTCGAACACGACGACGTTACGAGTTTGCGGAATAGAAACACGATCCGTCTCGGTGCGAAGGGATGTCTCGAGTCTCGAGTTCGAAGCGTGGCGGAGTCGGACGAGGGTCGACGAAAGCGTTTAACGTCGGTAAAGTTTGTCGTTAACGAGCAAGCCCTCGACGCTTCCCTCTCCCCCTCGTGTAAATCGCGTTATAAAAGGAACCGTTTATTAAAACGCCCCACTCGGCTGCGACTCAAAGTGTATTAAAAGGAATGCGATCGCGCGTAAATGGTCCCTCTGTTGTTGCAGTTCTTCCACAAGACGGACCGACGATAACCGGGGAGGAGAAGATTTACGCCACCGGCGACGTCCTTGGCCTAAATTGCACCAGCGACAAGTCTCATCCAGCCGCGAAACTCAAGTGGTTCATCAATGGCGCGGAGGTGAGTGAAACTCCTCGTATTTTTTCGCTTCGGCCCTATCCCCCTTATTCCACTCTCTGTTCAGTCATTCGTCCCTGATAATACAGATATATCGAATGGAGTACAGCGAACACGAATTTAAATGTTCGATCGAATCAACATCCGAGTGGCAAAATTGCTCCAAAATGAAAATCTTCTTTAGAAATTTACTGGGAACGTTCTTTTCGGATATCATTTCGTTGGTCACTGTTGTATACACATAAAAATAACGCTACAAGTGGTTCATTAACGAGCCATCCTTAAGAAGTTTTGTCGGTTCTGCAGTGATCTGAACTTTAATTAAAGATAACGAAATTTCCTTGGGGGATGGTTATTCCGGAATCTCGTAATTTCAGGCTGAACCCGTGAAAAAAGAAATGAAACGAAAATGATTAAAGCGACGACTACAAGGTGGAAAAGCTTCGTTTATCATGGAAAAGAAGACTGTCTTACTTTCCGTTTTAAAAAATGCTGCTTTTACAATATGACTTACAGATTCGAACCAAAATTACAGCCAGAATAGCGTTTTACAAATATTTTATAAATCTTTTTACTCTTTACGATTTTTGGAATTCATCGCTACAGTAGACTTTACTTTAAAGATCTCAAGGATTTATTTTTAGAAAAAAAGTGAGGATAAGAATGTATTGCCAAATATTAACCCTTTACATTCGAGGCCTTTTTTTCTGCTATCTGTCAGAAACTCGAGATGTTTCTTAACATTCTATTGCTATGAGTTCCAAGCTATCGAGATTTGAGAATAAGGGTACCTTTACCTCACCGACAATCATTTTATTGACACTTCGAACTCCTAAAGCTCCTAAAGCCCATAAAGCTCCAAAATTAATCCTAAGGAAACATTAGGTATTGTAGATTTGCTGCGTGAAACCTAATGGTGACTGAGAGTCACCTCTCGAGTACAAAGGGTTAACGAACTCCGTAAGTAGAATTGGCGAGAATGGTCAGACATGAATGAGTTGCATTGTATCCCAGACAATATTAATTCTTTGCACTCGAGGCCTTTTTTTCTAGTATCTACCAGCAACTTGAGATGTTTCTTAACATTCTATTGCTATGAGTTCTAAGCTATCGAGATTTGAGAATAAGGGCACCTTTACCTCGCCGACAATCATTTTATTGATACGTCGAGCTCCGAAGAAATTGAACCTAAAAACTTTGGGTGTTGTAGATTTGCTCCGTGAAATCTAATGGTGACTGAGAGTCACCTCTCGAGTGCAAAGTGTTAAGTTCCTTCTGGATCCACGGCTGTGTTTAGTCCAGGCAAGCCGCGATCGAAAATATGGATACAATTTCGAGCCCAGGCGGTACAGGTAGCCGGAGTTAGCATCGGCAAGGATGCAAGGATCGTTAAACGAGAGGGAAGGCGAGAGCGAACGGGCTTACCTTCATCGCAACTACTGAGACGGGTCTACCGTCGCGATACTTGATGAGCCAAAGCCCCAATTAACGAGCGGCACCGAAACGCACGCCAGAGCGCCTTAACCCTTGGCTTCGCAGAGAAGCCATCGTCGTGGGAACCACCAAAAGGGGTTTTTCGTTTCACAGCACCCCAAATTACCCCAACGCAACCCCTTCTCTTTGTTCATTGAACCTCCATTAGATGAAAAATAATTAGAGAAAAGCTAAACGATTGCATTTATATGCAATTATATATTCCTATTTCTACATCCTTTTCGGTATTTTCTTCATCGAACCGTGCTACTAAATACTCTAATGGTCACGTTGAAAACGCAAGCTAAATCGCGTCGACATTTCTAATATCAACTTCGCAGCCTGCCCAGCATCGAGGGAACAGCCACTGGCACCGAAATGTCAGTTTTTGGTCTCGCGGCACCCCGAACCACCCCAACGCAACCCCTTTTCTTTGTTCATTGAACCTCCATTAGAAGAAATATAATTAGAGAAAAGTTAAACGATTGCATTTATATGCAATTATATATTCCTATTTCTACATCCTTTTCGGTATTTTCCTTATCGAACCGTGCTACTAAATACTCTAACGGTCACGTTGAAAACGCAAGCTAAATCGCGTCGACATTTCTAATATCAACTTCGTAGCCTGCCCAGCATCGAGGGAATAACCACTGGCACCGAAAAGTCAGGTTTTCGTCTCGCGGCACCCCGAATCACCCCCGCGCAACTTCTTTTCCCCATTCATCGGACCTCCGTCAGGAGTCGAGTGTCCATAACCCGGAGTTTCGACCAGGCGAAACGCGGGTAGAAAAAAGTCAAACGTTTGCATGAACAAAAGAAACGGTGGGAGCCGGGTGGAGTAGAGCGACGGTAGTCTGCGAAATGCCGAAACTCGGCCAACTCTGTTAATTGCTAATTATGCAGGCTGCGTCGCGTAGACGAAAGGAATCCAATTTGGCTTCGAAGAAGGCCGTACGAGTTCGCAGCGAGATCGGTGACTCGTTGTCGCGTGGCAACCTCTCTTGGCTGACGGATTCTGCGCCGTTCCGCAGTGACGCGTTATACATCTCGTATTATTTAATCAAATTCGTACTCGACACGAAATTTGGAAGTTATAAAAATGAGTATATACAGGGTGTCTCGTTATAATCTTTCCACGCGATTATCTCGCAAAATATTCATCATTCGAAAAAAATGTTTAAACTTAACATGCTCTATCTGAAGGGGGACATTCAATGTTGCAGACTGTTTTTTTCTAGGTGGACGCGCCTCCGAGATTTGAAGATTACCTTTATTTTTTTAAATGAAAACGTAGTTTTTTTTCACGCTAGACACATAGATTATCTCAAGACGAATTTATTGATCTGTATTATGTTGACCTTAAAATGTCATTCAAGGTCATTTCTACGGCTTAAAGTTTTCTTCTTCACTGCACGTCCAGAAAATGTTTCTTATCTTCTAAATTCAAAAGTACGACCTTGAACATTTATGCAGCACCTGATTCTATCCCTAAATAACAGGTCAACTTGTTCTAAAGTTTCGCTAGCAATTCGTCTGCAAGCATTTATTATTCGAGCCTTCATACTTTCTGGAGAACGATACAATAATTTTCTTCGTAGTGAGTTGCAAATCCTTTTAGAAGACATTCCACTGGCCACCAGAGTGCGGATGTGGTTCCAGCATGACGGTGCTCCAACTCATTAGGATCGCCGCGTTCGACAAACTTTAAATGAAATGTTTCCTAGACGATGGATAGGTAGAGGAAGTCCAATACCTTTCAAAAGATAAAGTTTACATGCAGCAGCCAACAACAGCCGAAGATATGAAGGCTCGAATAATAAATGCTTGCAGACAAATTGCTAGCGAAACTTTAGACCAAGTTGACCTGTCGTTTAGGGATAGAATCAGGTGCTGCATAAATGTTCAAGGTTGTACTTTTGAATTTAGAAGATAACGTGCAGTGAAGAGGAAAACTTTGAGCCAAGGGAATGACCTTGAATGGCATTTCAAGGTCAACATAATACAGATCAATGAATTCGTCTTGAGATAAGCTATGTGTCTAGCGTGAAAAGAAACTACGTTTCCATTAAAAAAAAACAAAGGTGACCTTCAAATCTCGGAGGCGCGTCCACCTAGAAAAAAACAATGTACAACATTGAATGTCCCCCTTCAGATGGAGCATGTTACGTTTAAACATTTTTTTTCGAATGGTGAATATTTTGCGAGGTAATCGCGTGGAAAGATTATAATGAGACACCCTGTTAAATTGGATATCTGTAAGCAACGACCGAGATGGTGCGTATAAAACACCTTGGGTGTACTTTATACTCTTACGCGCAGAGGTGGCTCTTTGTTTCCCCCTGGAAATATGTTACACGTTTCCAAACATGTCTCCAGGGGTACTCACGGCGGGAACCACTAGGAGGTGGACCACTTACTCGGCTATGACCCTTTCTGGGACTAACATCTTGGTTCCACCCAAAAAGAGTCATACTCACTCCCGCCATTTAATAAAGAATACGTTTATATTCCAAGTGCCTTTATTATTCACAAGAATAGATTATATTAAAGATTATTTAAAGTTTCTCATCATAAATCAACACGTTGAACAGTAAGTTACTTTTGGTCTGCCTTATCCTACTTTTTGCAAAAGACAGGTTGCACCTATATTTTATTATTTTTTAATTTGTTTAAATATTCTCCCGCATATTTTTATTACTATTCATGTTCCCTTAACCTTCTGGATTTGTAAGTAGTTACGCCCAATCGAAACAGACAACGCTGCAGCGTCGTCAGTGCCACCAAACACCGATTCAAGTAGAAAAAGCCAACAATGGTCAGACGCGACAGACAAGTCGCGCAGCTCAGGAATGTTCGATGTCAATTTTCTCGAGAGCAAAGCCCCGCGCAAAAAAATTTCACTCTACGTTTTCGATCCATTTTCTCACGTTGAAAGATCAACGTGACACTAAATGCAGATCTACCAATAGAGCAAGACCGAATTCAGCAAATACTGTCGTTAAGTGAAACGAGCGAAAACTCGTTTGTTCTTCCGAGATTGGCGTTTAATACGTGACAACCCTGGTCCCATCGGCGAACGGATTTAAATATAATCCGCAAAGTGGAGGCAGTTGATGCCGGAAGCGCGCGTACACGCGGGTGGTGCGAGCCGTCGCGCAACTATACGGGCTTAAAGACTGCGCCGATGAACGCCTGCGCTCCTTTAGGGCTTCGCGACGAATCGAGCCCGCCGGCTCGAAAAGTTTCCTCTTATCCCCAAGCCGTCCCTCTTTTTCGCGCTGCGCGAGCTTCCTCGTTGGAAAGTTGGCGACGTTGTCGACGATGTCCATTAAGAGTTGAGCGAGTTTAGCGCGGCACTTAACGCGAGCAATATTGTTTCGAAAACGTTCTCCGTGTCGCGAGTCTCGGAAGATTCCGAGAGGCTCGCGCCTAGAGCGAGGTCTCGCCTCGGCTTTCATCCGGCGTCTCGACAGCCCCTGGAGACGAACGATCGGTCGTTTCGCCTCTAGCGTCTCTATTAACTATGGAAAGACTGATAAGGGCCTATGACCCACGCCTTAACATTTTACGATACTTGGGAGGGACCAATCTGGAGGTCCGAAGATGCTCTTCCGTGGAATGCTTCGCTCCAAAGGGCACTTTTGCCTATCAGAAAATAGACAATTTGCAATAAACAGGGGAACATGTTATGTTTGCTTTTTGGTTCATATCAGAAGAAATAGGAGACTTCGTGGTTCGTTTGTAAGTGCAACGAGTCGCGTGCACAATTAAGCTATCTACTATTATACTATTGTAGGGTACGATTTTAAAGAGATTCGAAGCCAAACGATTCGTTCATTACACGAATTGATTAACTTTATAAAACAGAAAGTTGAGAAATGCGGTCAAAATGGCCTCTGAAATAAATTATTTATCATTCAATGGCCAACAAAATTTTCTTGTTGAATGGTGTTAATCTTTATTATTCAGGAAAGTTATTATAAATATGAAAGGTTATGACTATACCAAGTGCTTTGACACATGAATTTAAAAATTTTCGAAAAGTAGAATTAATCGATATGTGCAGTGAACGGCTCAAATGTCAAATCAGGGTGATTGGGTGTAGAGTGTGAGAACGAATTCGACAGTTTGAAGTGTGCATGGATAAAAGCGCATGGAATCGAGCGAATGTTTAAGTTAAGGGAGCGAGTGCTAGGCGTCGGTTTGGGAACGAATGATAAGAGAGCGTGTGTTGTCTATGTATAAGGGTAAGAAGAAGACGCGACTGGAAGATTGCAAGAGTTTAGTTTTTAACCAGGAAGAGAGATCAGTGTATGAAAGTCAAATTTCGTGTGCGACTAATTCCTAAACAGTTGTAATTTTAATGTTTTCCGACAGTGGGACTCGGCATGGCCCTCTAGTCTTCCTAGGGTTAATCTTCGATTCACTTTCAATTACTCGGCTCCGCGCGAGCGAGCGAAGCCCCTCGACGAGCTCGCGCCCCCCTCCCACGCGAATCGATAGCTATTGCCCATCGCAAAACGCGCGCGAGCCCCGTTGAAGCTTCTAAAGAATCGGATGACGGATAGGGGTCGGGGCATTGCGGCGGAAGGAGGAATTCGAGCCCAGGGAGCAGAGGCAGACGTTTGAGAAAGCGAGAAGCGGTTTAGCGAAGCGGACAACAGAGGACAAAAGTAGGGCGGTCGCGATTAAAGGGAAAGATACTCTGCGAGTAGACGAGTATGGCTTAAAAATGATTTAATTTCGAGACTCGTTTATCTCTGCGGCCCTTCTCGCCGCTCCCCTAACCGCCGCTAATGGAGATTCAGAAAGAACTATCACGAACGTTGGAGCCAGAGCGTCAACGATCTCGGATGCGATGGATCAACGGTTTCCGAACATTTTTGGATCACCGAATGAGTAGATGGTAACTATTTTAGGTTTGAGAACGTAAAGGAGAAAATTGAATATAGGGTGTTGAAAAAAAAGCATTCAATATTTATATGGTGTATAGGGCACGCTGTACTGAGTAAAAAAGCTTTAGTAAATATAGGTCCAAAGGTTAACCGTTTCTGGTATATAAACGTTTCTGTTTGCTAGTATCATGATTGATTTACTACTGGGTTTTCGATATTTATAGAAGATTTTCCACGTGTCCACCGCTTATTTCTGTACACGAAATTGAAAAAATGAAATTGACGAAATCGTCGGCACTTGAATAGGAACATTCAGAACGCAATTTATAAACACTGACATAAACATCGCATGCGATGGAAGCAAGTAAGTCAATCATGATACTAGCAAACCTTGTTTACTAAAGCTTTTTCACTCAGTACAGTGTGCCCTATACACCATATAAATATTGAATGCTTTTTCTTTTTGAACACCCTGTATATTTATATGAAATGGAGAATAAGATTTATGAAGTTGTTGTGTCGACAACGTATAAAACGTAAAGTAAGGCAGAAGCACATATAACATGTCAACTGCAAGTTCGAGTATCGACAAATAATACATATGATAGCTCTCAACCTACTTTTCGACTGTGGCATCTATTAACATAAATTATACATTACGTAATTCACCATAGCTTTCGAATAAATTAAGATTTCGAGAAGCGCTTTTCACTGTTACCTCAAAAGTGAAATGAAAGATAAGACAGATAAGTGCTTTTACGTTAATAGTCCAACTTCTTCGTACGATATATCTAGAGGCAAAGTCCAGCTTCGACACCAGCGTATATTTTCTGTTTACTTTCTTTCATTCCGTTTGTATATAGAACTTCTATCGTAACTTCAGATAAACACGGCTCTTCCAGACTGATGACTGAGTTCTTAGCGATAGCGGAAACTTCGCGAAGCGAGACGAAACGGAAGAAACACGGACTAACGCGAGAGTGAATTTCTTTTGCATCCTCATATTGAAAAATACAATTAAAAGCGTGCAAATAAAACAGCAGAAACTTTCGCGGGACGAGAGAATTAAACATGGTTCGAAAGCTATTCAATTGTGTAATTTTACATTTTTCATCCCCTTATGATAATTAACAAAGACGTCGTTTTGACGTTGAACAGTGCAACTGAATATTCCGATCGAGCTCCTCCCGCAAGAGCTCGATTGGGTTCAAGTATGGCGACCGTGCTGGTCATGTCATATTCCTCGGGCACCCCTCCGTTTCCTTCCGTAATAAGAACCCTTTATGCAATTTAGACGAGTGCTTAGGGTCGTTATCATGCTGCGTAATAGAATTTCTGCCTATTAACCGGCAACGATGGCACGGCGTATTGCTCGAGTGTCTGCTTATAGTCTACCTTTTTAATTGTACCTTCTATATTTATTAGTTCTCCTAATGAGAACTATTCACATCAGAATATCCCTTGACGGTGAATTAAATAACCTGTTCATATCTAAATTAAGATTTGTTCTTTCACCTTTAACAACGTGATTACTCGTGTAATAGTCAAAACGTGTGGATAAACTACATATACATGAGCGATGCTTGATTTGACGATTGGAATTTGTCATATTAATGAGCGATTATTATTAACTCAGAGGAAATTGAAAAAGGGAATTGATGACGACCGCGTAGATCCGCGAATATGCAGAATTCGAGGCGAATTCGTATGCGAAGGATTTCGTCTATTTTGAATAAGGATCTTTTCTCGGTAAACGCGTTCGCGCGCAGAGAAACGTTCGGATCCGTGGTTAGCCCGCGGCGAATCATTCGCTCTCCGAGGAAATCTCGACGTCGCGACGTCTCGAAGCCTGCGACCGCCCAGCTCGGCTGCAGCCCATTACCTTGAATTGCAACCAGTCGTATCGTCGTCGTTCCAGCGAGTCGCGTCGCGTTACGCGTCGGGAAATATTCCCGACAATTTCCATACGCGGTCGCGATAATCCGTAACTCGTTTCGGTCCGCTCCGAGCTGTAAATTCGGCCGAAAGTTTGCCGCGGTTGAACACGATCGCGATCGCGCAACGCTAAGGCTCCGCGACTCTTGCGAAATTTCAGGAAATTCATAACGACGACACCGTTGCGAGAATGATGAATTCGACACTTTAAAAGAAAATACTTTCCCAGTCTTTAAGATCCCCGTGAAAACGACTCGAAAGGAAAACTCGCGATAAGTATTCACTTCCTCGGAAATTAATTTTCAAAGAGAACTTTGTTTCGGAGTAATTTCATTGACCGGTCTCTTTAAGCACCTCTGCCCCTTTCCAAAGCCCCGATCGTAGTCACGATCTCGATAGAACTCGAAGAACACGTTTCGTCGCTGGTCCGTTTCAGGTGATGCCCGACTCGAGGACGGTGTACGACCATCACGGACTCTACTCGGTGATATCCAGTTTACGGCTCCAGTTGGAATCGGATCACATCGCAGGCGACAAAATAAACGTCAGGTAATTTCGCCCTGGACAATCACCTCTCCCGACAAAAGCACGACCACCATCACCACCATCACAACCACGCCACCATCGTCTTCGTCCAGCTCTCGACGATTAATGCGTCTCTATAAATTTTGTCGAAGATGCGAGGCGACCGTGGAATTGGATTCAAACTCGGACGCGCCGCTCGTCGAGACGCGCACCACGGAAGTTTTCGGTAAGCCTGAGCGCGATTCAGCGCACCCTTTCCCCACTCCTCCGTTCGGTGGCGCACTCAGACTTTTAACAAGGGAGCCTAACACGCCGCGTTACTTTTCGATACTTTACGGAAACGTTACCGAAGTAGATAGAGACGAAGTTTGTTAAACTTTTTTGCGTAGAATTTAATTCCTTTTGAGATTTGTTTGCAACATTTTTTGAAATTCTTGCGAATTACGAATATACAAGATGTTCAAAAAAAAGCATTTAATATTTATATGGTGTATAGAAACACACTGTACTGAGTACAAAAGCTTTAGTAAAAACATAGCTCTAAAGGTCAACTATTTCTGAGATATAAACGTTTTTGTTTGCTATTATCATGATTGATTTACTACTAGGTTTTCGATATTTATAGAAGATTTTCCACGTGTCCACCGCTCATTTCTGTACACGCTTGGAATCTTCTTCGTACAGAGTCGCGAACTCTCTCGAAAATCCCATATTTCTGTCGAATTATTTGACAAGCATGGTGGATTCGGTTACGTAGTTCTTCTAAGTCGTTTATCGGGCTGGAATACACTTGGCCTTTTAAATATCCCCATAAAAAAAAGTCCAAAGGATTTCAATCGAGGGATCGAGGAAGCCATGCAACTGGTTCTTGAATGGAAACATTCAAAACGCAATTTATAAACACTGACATAGACATCGCATGCAATGAAAGCAAGTAAGTCAATCATGATACTAGCAAGCAAAAATGTTTATATCTCAGAAACGGTTGAACTTTAGACCTATGTTTTTACTAAAGCTTTTGTACTCAGTACAGTGTGCCCTATACACCATATAAATATTGAATGCTTTTTTTGAACACCCTGTATATATAAGGATAGAAGAAACACAGGAGGTAGCCATTTTTATCCATGAAAGGATTTTGTGTTAGAAAGCGTAAAGATATAAAAAATGTCGTTACTTTCACCGCAGCATTAGTACGAGTCACCTCTTAAATAGCGTTACATTTACTCCATTTAACTTTATGAAGATAATAAGGTCCCTGACCTTAATGGTGGCAATTTTTGAGAAGAATCGCGACACTCGGCCTCGTCGCGCGAAGTACATTTCGTAAATACACGGTAAAGCTATTAGAACCGCTGAACTTGTTAACAGAATATAGACTTGGTGACCCGTTTCCAAATGCTTGTGTTGGCTCGAAAACACTATTATTAATTCCAGCAACAGTAGCTTCTCGAGAGAGGTCATTTAGCAAAGTTAAGCTAATTAAGAATTATTTACGACGTGCAGGCTCTCCGAAGCATCTTGTGCATTTGGCAAGACCGAGGATTGAGCAAACATTCCCGAGACGTGCAATTCTCACGCAATGACTCGATATTTTTCACGAAAATGCCAGCAGAAGCTCTTTGTACAGTCGATTGGAACACCTTTTACGAATTTTTTTTTTCAACTATCGCGACGATCGACATCTTGGAACCTCCCCAAAGACTCACGCTCGCCTAAACAAAAATTCTACCGTTCGAAAAAAATAGATATCGGAGGAGGTGCGCGACTGCTCCCTTGCCGACCCCCTGGGTGCGCCACTACCTCCGTTCCATCTCTCTTCGTACCCCGCTTTTCTTTCTTCGTCGCAAAAACGGTAGAGTGGGGTTGGTAAAACGCAGTAAAGCGACGGACGCGTTAATTAACGCGAACCTGACGGCACGAGAAACGATTACCTCGTTATTTCCGAGCGAAAGAGGCGCGGAACGAGCGAGAGAACGCGACGAGTCACTTTCGCAGGAAATTAAGCATCGCCTGTGCGCTCCGACGAATTAAGGATGCTTTACGATCGCCATTCGCCCGTTCCTGTGAAACGGAGGCCTTGGCTATTCTGCCTTCGACGGCCGCAGAAGTCGGCTCCGCGGTCCCCCTCGAGACCACATCGCGATCCATCGAAATTAAAACAATAATTTACCCTCGTTTACCTTTCCCAACCCTTCGCGTCGACCTTCCCGCGGCTACATCTTCGAATGGCTTAATTTGGGTCTCTCTGGACCCAGCGGAGGACAAGATTATCTCAAAAATATTCGAAGCGAATGGTCGAAGCAAAAGTTCCCAAATATCGGCACTCTTTTGGCTGGTGTTCCCGTTTAAAGAACAGGACGGAAAAATGGGGAAGGGAGTCAACCACCCACGCCTGATGCGCGGGATCGGAGCGATCGAATCGCGGAATTCGTTAGTTAGTTATGCCAAGGCACGTATCTCGCGAATACGAGCGCAGAAAGCAACGGTCCACCGGATCCGCGCGTAACGATGCGATTGTGTCCAAACTAACCGCTCCGAGCCGCGTGAAACCGTCGGCCGGTGTGTTATTTTAGCAATTCCAGCTCCACCGAATTAAGAACATCATTATTCTCAAAAAAAATGAGCCCCTTTGTAAAGGTTTGCCGCTGTATAAGCTGCAGTAACGTGACTAATAGCTAATTACTAATTACTTTTTCTTTGTCCGCGCACGTCCGCGCATCGCGCAGGCTTCTTTCGTTCAAAGGTTGACACATTTCTAAAGGTAAAAATTGATTAACGTACATTATGGCATAATGAAAATGAAAATTTTCAGCCTCTTTGTACGTTTCATTATTACGACGGCTCGGGTAAAAACCATTAACTTAATCATCTCGCGCACTGTGTACAAACTTTAAGACAATAAACAAATTACGCTCGAACCGCGCCAGCAACGCGGCAAGATTTTCTAAAATAAAAATAGCGAACAAACGATCATTATTTGTTATGATTAATCAGTTTGCTACTTCGATAAATCAATTCACCCTTAATATTTTACGGTCCATTTATCAATTTCGAGTCATAATATACATTACCATCCCCTCGAGTTTTGGAATTGTCTCGAACATAAATTCAAAATGTGATTAAAATATTCCCTCCTACGAGATAAAAATGTCTGCTCATGTCTGCTTTAGATCTTATAACTGGAACTGTCGATTATTTCTGTTCATATTTCGTTGCGACGGACTATATTATTTCAAATTTTTAATGGAGTTTCATTTGAATTTTGCCAATTCGTTTTGCAACTTTTATCAAGATCATCTAACCGTGCACAAATGACGTAACAAGCATCGAAAGTCCGCATTCTACAGGCCACAGGTTCCCTGTCACTAGTCGTGGTGGTTACAAAATCGCCGAGGGGATTGAAAAACTAGCGACCAAGACGAAGAAGGGAAGAGAAGGAACGCCCGAACGTCTCGACAAAATTGCTCTTAACGATCCTCGATTTTCTCGTTAGTCGGAATCGTTCTTGGAAGCGACGCGGTCGTACGTCGCGACGCGCCGTAACCACCGACGCCCCCCCCCCCCCCGACATCGGCTCGCTTCGAATAGATCCGCGGCCAAATTTCGTACGTCGAAACTTTCCATCGTGCCACCCCCGCTTGCCCGTCGACGTCGAGCCTCCTGCACCCTCTTGCTCGTTCCTTTCTCACCAGCGAGTCGACGTCGCTTTCACGGCCGACTGGCGGCAAGGATCGAGGATAAACGTCGCTCAACCGAAGTGCAAAGTTACGAAGCGACGGGACGCAAAGTTTTGTCTGCCTCGGCTAAGAAGCTTCAAATTGTCGCGAAAATTTCGAACGATGCTCTCGTCCGTCGCGCGGGTCGCGGGCGCGAGCCATCGGTGTCGCGAAGACCGTACACCTGAAAAGTGGTAGATAATCAGATTCGACGTGAAACGGCTCCACACTGGTGAGATTGCGAGGGTTTTTTTCAAAAGAGATTTGCAATTAAACCGTGAAAATAAGACGAAATAAAATACTAGATAAAACAATAAAAATTCTGAAAGCTCGAAAGGAACATCAACCGAATTTAACATTCGGATTTCGATGAAATTTGATACACAGGCAGATCAAATGTTAAATTTAAATATTCTGTATTGGTTTCTCAGGAATGTAATTAAATAGGGATCTCGTTTACAACTTCAAAAGTAATTTTCGCTAGGGGTATTACTATTGCTTGGATTTATTTTAATTTTGAATTGGCTTTCTATTAATGCACATGTAATGGGTATTCGAAAAAGTTCGTGGCGTCTTGTCGCTCGATCAAGGCGAGAATGCTACCCAGGCTTGTGAAAAAATGTGTGGTTTTTACGCACTAAATGCTCTATCAAAATTTGGATGTCAAAAAAGCATCACGCTGTGGTCGACCAATCACAGAACGCTGTGATGAAATCATGCAAATGGTTGAGAAACGCCACGAACTTTCTCGAATACCCAATGTATATATACAGTCAGTCCCATAAGTATTCGTACCCTCTATAATCCAAATAAATTTGTTGTTATGAATATATACATGTGTGAAATTTATTCATGTACATATTTATAATGGAAAATTGACTTAAGAACATGAAACCTACGATTTAACTTAGACAAATTTCGTCACTAGATATGAAGGGTACGAATACTCATAAGACTGATTGTATTATAAGTGATGCAACATAAATAGAATAATAAATTTGAAACAGGAATTGGGTGCGATTGTTCATACATTCATATACATGGTGAGTCTTATAACGTGACGACCTCAAATAACTCGTTAGACATAACATTTAAAAAAATGAAGATAACCTTAATATTTGAATAAAAAAGTAAGGTAATGAAAAACAGATTACAGCACTGTATGTCCCCCTAGATACAACTTTTGTTTGAAACATTTTGTCGTACAACAAATATCTTACGATTTATTTGAGGTCGTCACCTTATAAGACTCACCCTGTATGAATGATGAAAAACAAACTACAATCACAACTTTACCCCTTGAACACGAATACCATCCGATATAAAAGAATACGTGTTTAATATTTTTCAATGTTCGACACGTGTACCAAGTTTCATTAAAATCGGCGTAGCGGTTGATGTTTCTCGCCAGTGCTAGATGATGAGGAAAAGAAAGAATTTTTCAAAGAGAGACCTGATATCGCGTCACTTTTCCGGCGTTTGGGAGCCAATCGTGCCCATGACAGGGCAGTCAACGAAGCACGGTTCTCTTGGATGTTTCAGTGGAGGGTCATGCGAGCGTCGCGACGCCCTCCGTGTGCCTGACAGTGGCGAGCGCGCTGATGCTGCGACTACTGCCACCCGTTTAGAGAATCTACCGGCGGACCAGCGAATCGACCTATCGACCCGCCGCGTCTCGCTCGCGCTGGCGTTCGCGATAGCGACTGGACTCGCGGCAACTAGCCGAACCGGATGGCCAAGGAGAAGCTGAAGCGGATGGCGATGGAGATGGAGGAACGGGAAGACACCGACAGGAGACCAGGGATGGTATCGCGGCGGACGTTTAGCAACAGGAAAACGATCAGTCGCGAAATCGAAACAAAACATGGTCGTTACCGCCCGCTTCGCTCGAATGGTCGGCGACTGAGATGGGCACGGTTCGATTCTATCTTAGAGAATAGCAAGTAACGAATAAACTAACGTGTAGCAATTTATTCGTGGCGTTTGTTCGATCGAGCAACTCGATTTTGCTTTGCGCGTTGTGAAATACTTCGATGTACAGTACAGATTTTAATTTTTATCCGCAGGATTACGCGCGGTAGGACATTGAACGAGAGGGCTCGATTTTACGGGTCTATGTAGCGGGAGTATTATTTTTTTTAAAGCTACTTTTACACTAGTGGAAAGTACAGTTCGTATGTATACTAGATAAAAATAAAGATTATTAAATAATTCAGAGCGTGTCGTCACTGTCTTCTATTTGTGCTTTCCACTAGTGTGCGAGGATTCAAAAGAGAACGGGTAGTTCGAACTAAAAACAAATCGTAGAATCGAGCCTCCCTTTAGATTAGACTATCCAATCGTTCGTAACCCTGTAAGAGTAACGAATAAAATAAGAATTTTGCCTATCTCTAGTCGGCGACCCTAGCCGGGAATTTGGAGACGACAGGTGCGAGAAAACGCTTTCAATGACAGGGTACTATCTATCGAGCGCGAATGTTTTACGCGGCACTCCTGTTTCCGAGTCGCGATGTCCGGATGCATGCATTCCAGACGCGTAGGGAAAGTTTGCCTCGCTTAGACCGCGTTGTTAAATAATTGAAATTAGTACGATAACGTCACTTATCGCGTTTGCTTACAAGGTTATGCCCATATTACTGTACATGGCCGATTTTCGTGTTGGAAAGTGCACCACTTGATTTGTTACGCGGTAAAATCTAATTTCGAGGAGTTTGATGTAATATCAGAGCCACGCAGCTGGTAAGTTTACAACCCCGAAGGTAATATATTTTAATATTCTATATATTTATGATATAGTATGATAACTTTATACAGGGTAGCCCGAAAGTTCCGTTAGAACTGTACGATCTATCATAACTTTTTCAAATTTTCCACCGAGAGTCGATGAGAGCTTGCAGCAAAGTATACTTATAAATAAACGCGAAAACGTTCATTCTCTACCGAGAGCGTTTAACGATAGCAATTAGACTCAAAATTCCAAGTAATTTTCGGATCGATAAATTATACAAAACTAAAATCAAAAATTGCTAATAATGCAAAAGATAAAAGCAACGACTATAATCGTAATCGTAACAGATCTTTCGGTCCACTCTGTAGCATACTAATGAAAAGATCTTTGGGCTAAATAAAGTGGCGCACGAGGTAGAAACTCCACGATGGTCGAGTTTTTTTAAATTGAATTACACTTGGTTGCTCCAATTTGGTCGGTTTAATTACGGCATTACTTTCATTTTCAACGTTCGTTCAATCAATTTCAAAGCGTTCGTATGATTTAGGCAATCTTTCCCTTAGAGTTATTATTTCAACTAACGAATAAAGACTCAAAAGACTCATCCATGAGCAACGATTTCATTCGACGAAAAACGACTGTTCGCGCATAAATCTGTAGCGTTGTTTGAAACAGATTTATTTCACCGAGAGTTTATTCGTTATTCGAACGGCCTCAACGACGAGTAAGCGTCTTCGTTAAGTCGCCGTCGTCTATTGTACATCACATATTGCAGCGCGACGCAGTAGATCAACGGTTTCTCACATCGATTCTTCCTAATTTTTCGTTCAACATTTTATTCGAATAAAAGAATCACTCGTCGTTCTCGAATGACTTCATTTTTTTTGCGACTTCTAATCGAATGCTATCTAAAGCAGAATTTATTTGAGAAAGTGTGTTCGACGTTTTATTCGAATAACGCCCAACCCTGCTTCCATTACAAGCTAGCGAGAGCGTTGAAATCGCGCCATAGCGCGCGCGAGCATCGATACGCGATCCGTGAGCGCAGCCGAGCGCTGGACCGGCCCAACGCGGATTATCGTCTCGTTTTGCGGCACGCGACTCGAAAGTACGATTTACGAGACTATAAGCCGATTAATTTGTAAAATTCGACGTGCACGGCTGGGGCAAACATTTGTTGAAATTGTACGGAAACGGGCGATCCTTCCGACCGATCGTCGACGATCCTGACCGGTCCACGCAAATCTCGTCGTAGTTCGTTTCCGCGCGACGGAAGAGTCGGTCGTAAGTTGCGAGTTCACGCGCCATCGAAGGTTCGTTTCCACCGAACGTAAAACCAAGACTTTTAATTTTAATGCCACGATAGTAAACGCCTGGCTTCACTCTGTTCCAATATTTCCGTCTCGCAACCCCTGGAAACAATCCATACATTGTAGATATATTTTTTCAACAGTATTGTATATACTGCCCGTATGTGAAATTGTATACACTGGTCCCTCAGTTTACACGGCACTTGTTATACGTGGCTTTTGTTTCGCGCGATCAACAATCACTCGATTTACGCGATACCTTTTATACACGGTTTAGTTTTAACCAGTGGAAAAAAAAATGCCCATGTTATTTCGGCAAAAATCATTCCGCATGTGCGGTGGAAAAGTTTCGTTTAATCGAACCGTTAACATTATTCTGACCCCGTTTCCGTCGACACGAATCATCGAACCCTGTCAAGTTTAAACGGGTAATGGAACGACAATCGTTGCGAATTTACGATCTTCGCGAATTTATTGTTGGATTTACTTCGCGGGAATTCTTCGGAAACATTTCATGACTCGACAAATGGCTCTATAAGTTCGAAAAACCGTACTTTAAGTGGTTTCCCATTCGCGTCGTAATAAGAGGTAACTCGAAGGAGATCCATTAATCTCCCCCTTGTTTCCATCAATGTCAAACGGCCGCTTTAAAGCGCTCGAATGGGCGCGATCCTGATTTTATAAATTTAATTGTTCGCTCGTTAATTTTCTTAGAAAAAAGAAATTACAAGCATCGGCCTTCTGGATCGCATGCACGTGCACCCTTAATGTCACGTGAACACGCACCTGTAGCGAGGGTCGCGAGCGAAGCGTCTCGATGTTCCGCCGCCATATTCCGCCGTCTCTCTCGCATTTACGCTCTCTCGCATTACGCGCCCCCGCATTACGCGCTCTCGCGTACACGCGTGTTGTCCCCGTTTACGGCTTCGAAGCTTCCATTCCCCGGTACTTGTACTTCCGAAACGACGCGCGCTCTACCTCCTCGCGCCGCCACTCTTCTAGCTCGTAGTCGCAATTGCGCGTCTCGTTCGCGCGACCAGCCGACCGACCGCTTCCGGATTCCGCACCGCGCCCGCCGTCGACCGATTCGCCTTCCACGCGACTGGAGATTGACAACATTCGATTCGAATGATAGATAACCGACGAAACCAACGTGCATCGATACATTCATGGGACCTTTATGCGATCGAACGATTTCCGTTACTATTAATTTCTTACTAATTACTGTTCAACCTTTCGCCAATAGATCACGGTACCGTCGTACTTGTCATGTTTATTAATAACAAAGTGTAAATTTCCAGAAACGCCAGGTGCTGTAATAACTCTAAAGAATTGATTTCGAAATTCTAGCGAGCAATTGCCATATTTCAATCTCGTTAAAGTAGCATTTCAAACGTTTAACTCGAGTTATAAATTGATTTATTGGAAAATAAATTTCGAGATCGATTCAGCCCAGAGGTTTTCCCGACGCTCATTAATTTAACGGTGAAAAGGTCAACGTGTAATGGATCGTTATTCGAGAATTTTGCCCATCTCCGCTCGCGGCTCTTCCTCCTCCCCGGAGTGCCACCCTGTGCGTGCATGTGTGCGTGCGTGTGTGTGCGTGTATACTTTGTACATACTTGCGACGCGCGTGTTATACCTGTCGTATCGACGTACCTTACCGATTAGAAGAAAAGAATCCGAAGATCGCATCGAAGCGAAGTTTATCGCGCTTTCCGTAGTATAGGCAACGACCGGTGGCGTCTATTAAGATTCGATTACGATCATTTCCTAAACGTTGACACGATCGTCGAATCGATCGGAAAAATCGAGAATTCGTTCTGATCGCGTTCGGCGAGCGTCGTCCAGTCTTTGGATGAAAAACGCGAACTTCTATTGCAGAAATGGACGCCACGACCGCTTCAGCTAGCGGCTCGACAAGTTCTCGTGCTCGCCGTGAGCTGAAACGATCGCGACGCCGAATTCCGATCTACGATCTTCAAGCAGTCGCCACTCGTCGACATCCCGAAACCCATCGGAAAGATTACGTACTTGTGTGTATGGCCTAATGTATATATTTCGCATATTTAGTAAATAAATCGTATTTCATTACAGGCGTTTCTTCGATACACGCACCCCGGCCCGTGTTCCAACTCCAGTTTTGTCCCGTTTCGTCCTTAAAGGGAATCCCTCTTCGCCTCCCTTTCTCACGAAACTCTTCGTAAGCGTGCGCAACTGGTTAGTGCTCCGGTTCTCCGTTCAACCCTCGACCGAGAGCGTGGACTACAGGTCAGTAGCTTACCCTGCTGTACTCGCCCTGCGATGGGCTTTATCAGCTTTTACTGTAACTAATTATAGCGAGTACACACCAGTTGCGTATCCGCGGCAAAATATGATATTTTCTAAAGCTAGAAATCCTGAGGTATCGCAACAATTTTGTATCGTGCTACGATTATAAGCCGTGTGCCTCGAACACGTGACAAATGGTCACGTGTCTAGCGGATGGTTAATTGATTATGGGCGTCTGGTGTACGATGACCTAACTGGTCCGTTAAATACCAGCTTGCAAACGTAATCGCTTTTCAACTCTTGGGTTTACTCCATTTCCTGTGCTACTTTTTTTATTTTCAAACCAAAGTACACGTGATCGTAATTAAGCGTAAAGAATGATGTCGTTAGGATTAAAGTCCCTTTTCTAACCGCTTCGCGAAAGAGACAAGTGAATCTAGCCGCTCCAGAATGCCTCGCCGGACGATAGTTTTCCGTTGGCTGGCCACGAGGGATTAGTTCCAACATGCCGCGTCTCCAGCGGTCAGGAAAGAATTAATTAACGATCGTTCGTGACACGAGACAATACGGGTCGCGGCTCGTCGATGGAGCTTCTTCCTTTACCCGATACGAGGGAAATTCTGGAGCGAATAAACGGCTAGTCTAAGCGGACAGAGTCCCGGAAGCCGATCGATGCTAATGGCCCGTGCCAGACGGCCCGTCTTGGCTCTGCTCTGCCCACTGTTCTATCAAAGAATATCCCTTTCGATGTGGCTATGTTTTTTTCGTATCCCTTTTAATTGTTCCGCAATCCACGCAACTACATTATCTGAATCAGTCAAACAAAGAGGAAAAGACATCATCTATCTAATTATAATCGTGCGTATAGTCACTTGAAATGAAAAAATCAGATGACGAATCTCTTTCGTCACAAGAGATCTTGTCGTTTCCATCGACGAGATCCAGGTACCTTCTGTTCCAATGCCGCGGAGAACTACACTAGAAGAAAAGTCGCGGAATGAAGGAGCGTTCCTAACATTCGATCTAACCCATTGAATTTCCTTAAATTTCAGCTAGAAACACGAACGCTCGTTTCGTGCGGAATATCAGGGCAGATAATCAGCCGATAGATTAGTTTTGTGTATGAACAAAGAGTAGGTCAACTGTCGCGCGACGTCGCTCGAGAGTCGATAATCCGAGCACTGGCTGCATGGGACCACAGTTATGGCAGTAAACAGACACAGCTGGGTTGGTACTATGGAAAACAATACGAAGAAATTTGCATTAGACTTTCTCCATCGTGGGCTTCGCGTAATGCACGTAATACCGGACGCTACATAATAGAACCACGTTACAATTGGGTCATTCCACGCCATATCGATCGTGTTTTGCGGTACGTATCAAAGATTTTGTTGAAATTGCAATACGGTGAAGTTAGCAGGTGTTTAAGTCGTTATTTTGCTGGTTTCGTGTTTAATTCGGAATCATGGAACGTTGAATGTTGCGAGTGTATTTGAACGAAGATACGAGAATTTAATTCGAATTTAATTCATTTGTACATACCCCTTTACGTTCAAATAGTCAAACATCACAAAATTCAACATACCATACGTTTTAAATAAACCTGCAAAATGACATTTGAACGAAAACGTGATGTACGAATGGATTAAAATCATATTAAATTCATTTGTACAATCTGTTTTTCCTTTAAATTTAATACGGTTTTAATTTGTTTGTTCAATCCCGCGTTCGTTCGAAAAATTTTAACGAAAAATTACTACAATCGATCGTCCTGTATTTTCCTTTCAACGAATTTAATCCCACTAAAATTATGGCAATATCATGTTTCAATTTCACAAAAATCCCAGATATCCATCGCAACATGTCGTCGATTAAAAATGAACGACACTTGGAAACATTAAAACACAACTTGCTCTTTGTACGTGGAAAGGTGAGCCTATCAAACTACAATGGTAATAGATCTGCATGTTTCACTCTCTCGACGGTACGATGAATTTCGACTGCGCACAGCAGCAAGTCATTGTTCAAAATAACTTTGGAAATATAGCTAACGAATAATAAATATTTGCGAACCTAGATGAGATTCCTCGCGGAATACCCGAGCGCTTGATAATCTCTCTGGAATAGCAATAATTAAAACTTACGATCTTACGAAGAGAGTACAATGCGTGTCGAGTGCTCGGCCTCCCGAAAATCATTATACAGGGTAAGTATAGTCGTGTTAATTGGACCACAGAATGGAATAACTTTTATCTCAGACCTAATTCGAGTAACCTTTCTCCCATTTCTGATGCGCGATAGCAAAGATCTGCCTTGCGGTTAAGAAATTCCATTTTCTTACAAATTTGCTACACGGTGAGCTTGCATTGGTAATTGCATCCGTCAACGCATCGGAACACAATTGCGCCGCGGCTTGGGATGAATTTCAAAGGCGATACATAAAACCGTGGTAGTACGAAAGTAACCGAACAGTACAAGCGCATTTAAAGCTGCCTCCGATGCTTCCGCAGAGTTAGACGCGATTCTCTCTCTAACCTGGGGGCTTTCTCCGAGAAGGTTCAAATGCATGTCAACACGCTAAAGGCATTAGGCCAACCACAGAACACATTGGCATTCAATTTTAGAGTATACGTGCTCAATATAGAAACTGGGACGTGTTATAACTCTGAGCGAAGTTGTATCAAACCACTCGTTACTTGTTCTAAATAATTCTCAAATATATTCCAATATAATTAGACCTTGCAGAAATGTATATTTATAAAGAATTCAAAGAGAGAAATATTTTATATTTATCACGCGAAAAAATATTCCAATCTGAGAAATGGCTTGAATACTTGGATAAATGACTGTCAACCCGAGACACTTCCTCTAACTCCTGAGGATATGAATGTTAACTTACAAGATAATCATGTTGGAATACTTGAGTAGTCTCTATCCAATATTGATATACAGAAATGAAGTTTTGTTACAACACATCCACATCAGAACATGCATGTCAGGAATGTAATTTGGTTGCTACATTATTCAGTCCCTGAACGCTCCAATTCAACTTTCGGTTTCCGACAATTTTAGATAGCTTGCAAATGGAAAGTCGGAAAACGTAGCAACTATTAACTATTATGGCATACGAAAATAATGACACACGTTTCAAACTGTATGTACAAACTCAGAGAGCTGTTAGAGAAATACATTTGTAAAAACAAAAGATAAGGAAATCGTGTACTTGTCTGCGACTTTTCTTTGTCGTGAGAATACTATCAAGAGCGAGTGTTTATGGGAATCACGACAGAAGCTACCCGTGTAATACGCGGTTTATACTTATAACTGCATCTCGTATATTTTTTTAGGGTATTTTTTTTATTTATTAAGGATAGAAATGAAACAATTTATTTTTTGCGAGTGGTAATTGCAAACAACTCTGTGAGTGACAGCTACCAAAAAAATCAGGAATGACGATCGGTTATTTAGCTGACACATGCAAAAGTTTTAGAACGATCGGAGTCCTGGAACATGGTTAAATAATTTAAAAGAAACAAAAATCCTATGCGTTGCGCTCCGTGCAATGAGCTGAAGGAGAATGAGATAATGGTCAGACACACTACGCGTATCGTAC